AAGGACAGAGAGAAGATGAGGACACACATTTCTGAGGCTATCGAATAAGTGGTCAATAAGCATTTATTGAATGATGATAGCAGCTCCAGAACAAGGGTGTAACCCTTTGGATTGGGGGGGATGAGGAAGGTATGGCATGAACCTTCAACCGGGCCTTGGTCCATAGAAGGGCCTTAGACCAAGTCTATATGAATGTGGACTCAAAATAGGGGTATTTTTATGGAAAAGAAAGCATACAAGTAGGAAAGAATAAGCCCCTTTTCAGAGAATAGAATCAGCTGATACACATCCACTTTAGAGCATAAACTGTCCATCCACCCATCCATCCAACCATCTAACAACGTTTATCACTCAACAGATACTGGGTCACACCTGGAGACACTGGTAAGTGGAGCTAGAGACAGATGCGAGGACATCTGGAATGCCAGCTTCAAAACACAGACTTTCAGTTGATGATAAACCATCGATGGTTTCTGAGCTACAGAAAGAATTTGAAATTTTACTATGGAAATGGCTTATGGACAAAATTAAACAGGATGGACTGCAGAGAAAGGGGCAGGGAATCGGACTTATACAAGGACCTTCTGCCAAGGTCCCTGGAGGAGGCCCCTGGGTCAGGGCAGACAGGATGATGGCGCCCTAGGGAGATGGGCTGGGGATGCCTGGGATTTGCAGATGTTGTAGGGAATCAACACACAGCTAGAGAAAGAACGGGGAAGCATCCCAGCTCTTGGAGAGCTGGTGTGGGTAAGAGGATGCTGCTGTAAAACAGGAAGGCGTGGACAGGAGTTATTCAGTCTGGGTATGTCTCCTTCCTCAAGACCTCTCTTACATCTACCCCGTCTTGATAGATCCTTCTGACCACAACTGAGCAGAGATTTTGGGGGCAGATGAGGCCCATATTCCTGGTCCCTGGCATCATGAAACACGTTCTTTATCCTTAAACATAACTTATATTTTAAAACTGCTAACCAAGCTGAGTTTTGAGTACAATTAAGTTTTAAAGTGATCAACACTTCATAGATATAAGATCAGATTTCACGCAAATATTGTTTAACATTTCTCTACTTTCTTTAACTCCTTAATGCCAGGATGCTCAGAAAGACCTCAAGGGAAATCCCCACCCTGCATTTTCCCAGAGAAAAAGGGCTATAACCTCCCTCTGTTGCTCTTCTCTGATGGATGAACTACATTACAGTGCTCTAAATGCATCAGTTTTTCCCCCCAATCCACTTTTCTTTTAATCTAAATCTTTTTTTGTTCTCAGCTGTTTTATCATGGCATCTCACAAGGAACGCCTTTGTTTTTTAATTTCATCTATGGAGTTTGCTGCTATTTTCCAATGAGATGCTGCGAGCAGGGGAGGCAAAACGATGCTCAGCAGAAAACCCCCAGCGTGTCAGACAGTTCAACACTTTCATTGATTCCACTCACTGAAGCTTGGGCGGTAAAGGAGTACATATTACTTGACACTGGAATGACTTTTTCCTGTGTCTTTTCTGCTGCGCGATGACAGATAATTTCTTTAGCAATCGCCGTGTTCTTTTCATATTCTTGGAATCCTGGTGTTGGAAGGAACATCAAAAAGTTCGTCATGTTTCATCTCCCGCTTGCCAACAGGATCATGCTTAAACCGTCCAAGATGGATCACTCGCTGTCTGTTGTGCTCTCTGAGGTTCAGACTTGGAGGAGGGTCAGGCCGGATGCTGGGAGCACACTTAGACCGCGCCATAGTCCCGCTGTTTAGCTACCCGCCTCGCAAAAACCTGCAGACACGGTTGAGCGTGGTTGAGTAGTCACCTGATATCCTGTAATGAAAAATGGTAGAATACGCAGAAAAGAAGGAGTATTTCCTTCAGAAAACAACATTTTTGATCTCGAAGAAATTTTGTGTATGTGCTTATGAGTGCACATTTACGTGTGTGGGCGCATGTTTGTTGAGACCTGAGAGTACCCTTCCGTTCTGTTTCTTCTTGAGCGCCGCCATCATGTTCTCAGGCTCATCGATTAGGCTCTCCATGTTTCTGTTTCCCCGACACTGGGCTTATGAATTCTACTACACCTGCCTTCTTAAAACAAAAATGAACAAACAGAAACCATGGGTTCTGGAGAGTAAACTTGGGCCCTTGTGCTTGTACATCAAGTATGAACTAAATATCCCTAGGCCCAACTAGAAATTTAAAAAAAATATAGTATTTGACTCAGAACTTGACACATTGTAGGTCCATCATTAAAGTTTCAGAAAATAAACTGGTCCATAAATATTGCTATTGAAACATGGCTGCCAAGGGAGTCAGTGGCTAATAATTCTCCCCTGCCCATTTCTTGAGTTCTATGCTTTAGTTGATTTGTGTTGTTTGGGGGACTGCATCTCACTGTGTAGCCCAGGCTGGTCTCAAACTCACAATCTTCTTGCCTTATCCTCCCAAGTGCTGGCTCTGTAGGTGTGTCCAGACATGTCTGGCTGCTGAGCCCTGTGACCTGTGACTGTTCACACATGTCCCAAGAGGGGTGTGGGAATACTGCATGCACACTGCTCTGGGAGAAACAGTTCCAGAGTCAAGTTCAGGGATCTCAGTCCCCACCCTCCTTTGAACTTGGGTACACTTTAACACACTAAGACTATTTGGAATTCAGAACAAAGGCCTCTGTTAACACTGAATAAACTGGTTGTGACATTTGGACACAGGACCTCCAGTGGCACACGTTCTATCCACCACCTACCTTTTAAGGACACACTGCACGTTGGGGCTAGCGTTCAGTTTTACTTGAGGGAGAGCCCATGCGTAGCTCATTTTTGTATGTTTGTGCCATGAGCTAGCTTACATCTACCATGCATTCACTAAAAACTTATGCATCTTGAAGAGCTATGCCTTGTGCATGCGTGACTAGATGACATCAACACCCAGAGAGGAAGCTGGGATGCCGAGATGAGCAAGGACACATTCTCCCTTCCGAAGGTTTCTTTATAAAGAAAGTAGATATTCGGTCTTTCTCATACCATGCTTGTGATGAAATCCTTGGGCCTGCCCTCCTCTTAAATGACCCAAGCCCTTGAGTTTTAGATGGCAGACAAAGTACTTATGGCCCTGGATACATCTGATTCCTACTTAATGTTGATCATCAAACCAATGGAGAAATCTCCTCTGGAAATTTTCAGCCAAGCCATTATTTGGAAATGAGACATCTTGAGAGACCCTCGGTAGCTCACAGGCCATTGCTCGTGGCGCTGCCGAGAATGCCCTCGCTCCCAACTCGCAGCTCTGAGTCCCACACTTGTGAGTCGTGACACAGTAGCATTGCTAAAGACTGACCAAGACACAAAGCCCCAGAGGCAGCCGTGGCTGGCCGGCAGGTGAGAGAGATGCTGACAGTAACCACAGGGGTTGAGCATCTCGCCTGCCACACATGTTTTTCTTTGACGCCCAAGTCTCCAGAGGAAAATGCCACCCAAAAGGCTGATTTGCACAGCTCTTTCCTGGTGAGTTTTTTTGTCAACTGGATACACCCAATAAGAGGGATCCTCTGTTGAAGAACTGCCTTTATCAGCTTGGGCTGTGGGCATGACAATGTGGCATTTTTTGGATTGATATTTGACACACTAGGACCAAGCCCACTGTGGGTAGTGCCATTCTTAGGTGGACTTGGGCTATAAGAGAGGTGGCTAACATGAGCCTGGGAGCAAGCGTGTGCCCAGTGTTCCTCTGCGGTCTCTTTCAGTTCCTTCCAGGTTCTTGCCTCCCTTGATGATGAACTATAACCTGCAAGCCAAATAAAGCCTCTCTGCCTCCTTTGATTTTGGGCAGTGATTTTCAGCTACAGGGAAGGGGAGCAGAGTCGCCTTGTGACTCGCCCACATAGTGAGAGGAACCTGGGAACGCATCGGATTGAGCAGCGTCCCAGCATCAACACAACCCATGTTATGAACAAATCACTGTCGAAGCATCTTCAAGCTTGCAAATGAGTCATCCCAACTGCAATTCACTGCGAGTGACATTTACCTTAAAGTTCTCCTTTGGGAACAAACTGCATGAGGTCCTTTTATTTGTTTTTCAGACAGAATGTCACTGTGGTATTCAGACTGGGCTTGAAGTCCAACTGGTGGTTCCCCCCCCCCTCAGCCTCCTCCGTGTTTAGATGATAGAAACATACAACCACGCCTAGTTTAAAGTTTTCTTCACCCGAAAACGAGAAGGTGGGAGGGAGTGGTCATGATGGCTCCAGGCTATAATCCCAGCACTAGGGAGGCTGAGGCAGGAGGATGGACAGTTCAAAGCTAGCTCTACGTTTGTAGTGGGGCTCTGTGTCAAACAAACAAGAGAGAGACACAACTCAGTGGCTGAGTGTCAGTCTAATGTGTACAAATTCTGGGCTTGGTCCCCACTATTGAAAAATAATTTGGGGTAGAGTGCTGAGAGAAAGACTCTCTCAGAGTCTTTAGTTTCTTTAGTGTCTGTATCTAAACTTCACCAGAACTTCCTTCTTTCCAAGTCTTCCTCTTATAAGGCTTTCAGTTTTATCTCAACTAGAGATAGACTGGGTCTACAAGTTATTCTAATATACCATTTTTTCTTAGATTATTGTGAGAACATAATGCCATCAGTTACGAACAAAAGCATATCTGCTGTTAAAGCCATGCATTGGCTCTCGTTGCTGTTGAAACTCACATTCAGAATCTGGGGGGGGGGGGCGGGTCCCTGCTCTGAGTAGCTGAATCCCTGGTGTTATGGAAACAAAGAGCTCTTGCCTCATAGCCTGTTGGTGTACGCAGTCATAAATGTGACAGTTACTGGGGCTGGCCGCCTTCTCTGCCTTCCTGCAGACCTGAGACTAACACACTAACGCATTCCTTACTGATAACAGATGCCCGAGCCGAGCCTTTGAAATCCCCCTGTTGATTCCATTAGAGGAAAATGGCTTTATGCAGTGGTCTTGGGGGGTGGGAGCTGTGATTGCTGCTGTGTGGACCCCTGGCTGAGTACCATGCTTTTCTCTTGTAGGTGATGTGCCTTCAGGACTTTTTTGGTGACGATGACATTTTTATTGCATGTGGACCAGAGAAGTTCCGTTACCAGGATGATTTCTTGCTAGATGAAAGTGGTAAGGAAAAAAAAAAAAAGTTCAAAACCCGGGGAAATTTGAGGCAGCTTTCCCAAATGAACTGCGCCAGGCCAAGATTATGTCAACTCCAAAGCCACCAAATCAGTTTCAGATCCTCTCCTGCCTTGTCTTTCCTATATCTTGAATTTCTTTGATTTTTTTAAAATATAGAAAACAGATGAAATGATAATTGAAAAGGTTAATCCATTTGGAAGAATACATTCCTAATGGCTAATTTATAGCCGCTTAATAACCAAACTGATGCCTTTCAGAGAACCACGGTGTGGATTTCGATACTTTTAATTATTTATTTGCCTAAAGAAAATTTATGGCGGATGGATTTGCAATCATAAAATTACCAAGTGTGCTCCCAGACTCAGCTTTCATGTGGCTTCCTCTAATTCCTGAGAAAATGGTTTGGCACTGAGTCCCTGAAGTACATTGGAATTTATATGTCATTAACATCTGTGAAGTGTCAACATGGTAGCTTCCTTCCCTTAATGAACTAAATGTGACCCTTGGTGATTAATAAAGGGGGGGGTTACTGATAAATGGAGAAATGGAAGGAAAAGGTTATGATTTTCAGAATGATTTCCTTTTGTGGGAAGTCACCGCAGAATCTTACAGTGTCACTGGTAAAACAATCGCCAAGGACACCCTGCCGGGGCAATTTCACTTCTGATTTAACTAGGGAACTATGACACCCTTACTGACACTTCGAATTCTGTCTAGTTGGAGAAATTTTTGGAAGTCATAAGTGAATTCGTGGCTACATTGACAGAATGGGAGGACGGTCCTGAAGTGCATAAGGTCACGGTCAGTGCTGGCCCGGCCTGGCTGCGCCCTAAAACTTCATTTCATGCTCATCTCGGACCACTTATGTGCGCTGCCGTGATGGGCCACAGGTAGACGTCTTCTCAGTGACAGATGCCACACACAGTGGAGTCTCGTGACTATACGGCGCTCAGGCACAGCACAGACTGCCATTCTTCCTGATTAACCAGTTTATATGATGTTTCCCCCATAGGCCACCCGAACATGCAGGTCGCAACATGTACCCTGATCGCTAAACAGCACAGACATGTCCATAGATAGCGTCAATGATACGCACCTAAACATTCACTAATCCATGACTTTGGGAAAGCGAGCAAGGAGAACTGCCCACCATCATGAAAACTTCACGCAGAGCTGGCATGGATGTGCCAAGGACAAGATTTATTTCCCTGCAAGGTCCTACCTGGAGGATTACTTTGGCATCTCTTTCCCTCCAAATAAGTTTTCTCTAAATATATGCCATCTTCCTAATGGATACACATGTCCTCTTGGGGCAAGGATTTATGGAAAAGTCTCATTCACAAGATGCGCTCAGGGAGGAGGGTGCCCCCACCTTGTTTAAGAACAAAGCAGCTTTGCCATTTTGTGGAACAAGCAAATGTTTCCAGCCAGGGCACCGAGCTGACAGCACGGGTTTTGAGAAAAATAAATGGCCTTGACTTTCAATTTAAAGGAAATCGTTGCTTTTGATAGGAGGGTCTGGGACACCAGATGTGTTCTGCAGGGAAAGCCCACTTGCTGCTTTCAGAGTGAGAACAGCCTGGCCGCCTGGCCGGGAGTACAGCTTACTTCCAATCAGCAGAGCTGGCCGCTCGTGTGCAAGGCCTCCCTACCCTATATCTAGTCATAGGCTGACTTCAGGCCGGGACTCCCACCTGGCCCGTCTTGGGAAGCCGCACAGCTGGCTGGTCCACTGCTACTGCTGTGGTAAGATAGGCTGTCAGCCCGGGAGCTTCAACCACCCACCACCATTGGCAGGCAGACTTTCTGTGAAGTATACCAGAAAACTGCAGGGGGAACGAAATCTTACCAATTTTCCTCATTATCAAAATGCATATGAAGGTGTAGCTTAGTGAGAGGGTGCTTCCCTTGCTCCCTCCCCAGCCTTGCTAGAGAGAAGACAAGCGGGGGCTGGAGAGATGGCTCCTCTGTTAAAGGCACTGGATGCTTTAGCAAAGAACCTGGGTTGGATTCCAGGCAGCCACAGGGTGGCTCAGGACCGCCTGTAACTTTAGTTCTGAGAAACCCAATACCTTTCTCTGTCCTCCGGGGGGCACTAGGGACATGCGTGGTGTATACACATACATGTAGACAAAGCACGCATGTACATAAGATAAAATAAAAGTGAAAGTATTTTAAAAGAAGACAAAACTGTATGTACACACACACGTACACATACACACACGTACACATACACACAGGTACACACATACACACACGTCCACACACACACAACACACACACTAGTCATCTTTTGACACTTAGCCCTTTGAGAGAGCTCTATAAACCATTTTGTTGTGCTCCTCACTTCCTTTCTCCCGATAAATGTGTCCTACCCAATTCTCTGTGTGAAATACATTTACTGTGAAACTTGTCCTCCCCCATTCTAGAAGAAACACGTGGGCACAGGAGGGGGGAAGGAGAGTTGACTAAAGAAAAAAAAATCTAAATTGAGGTTTTACTTCCTTGGATGAACTTACCCAGTCTAAATTTACACGTTGACAACTACAATTTTCCTGATGCTTGAACAGCGTGTTCTGGGCTAATGTATTAAAATGTGAGTCTTTTTATAAATGCTTTGAGTGTGATTTAACCCAGCTCCTCTCTTCTTACTAAGCTGTATCCGAACATTGATGCTGTATATGTGAAGTTCCAGGAAACTTCCTTAAAGGTGTGTGGTGACATCCGCAGAATTAATAGTTTTCCTAGTGCAGAGGCACACTTGATTTAATGGTGTCAGGAAGTGATCTTGTGTATCAATGCAAAGCTTTTATCTTCTCTTTAGAAATGAACCCAGTCACTAGCATGCCTGAAATTAGGAAGGATGCATTCCCCACCCCCAGAATCACCAGCAATCTCCCAAAGATATTGCCCCGGGGCTTTCCAATGGATACTTCTGGAGCAGATATATATTTTCCAGGGCCACATGGGAGCAGGATCAGCATCAGAAATGAGCGACCATAAATACTCCTTCCCATCTTCACATGCTACACGGGGTACCTTCCTTGTTCTGATTCAGAATGTAACCATTTTAGCAGGGTATCATCCATCAAGAGAGTTTCGGCACCTTCCAATGGCAGCCAGAGTGCTATATAGAGAGGCCAGCAGAGGCTGGCAGAGCCGTCCCTTGTGGCACCTGCTGTCTGATGTAGAATGAGGAACCAGAGTGAAGGAATATGCCAAGCTGGAGACAGGACGCTCAACACGGTGTGGCTTAGACCCCAGTGACAAATCAGTGAGCGTGGCACTTACTGCCACTCAGAAGTGACAGGGCTTGCTTGCCCACATCAACTCCTTGGTGAGGAGCCTGGTCTAGATGTCACCTTTTTGTCTAGTCCCTCATCCTCCAAGCCTATGTCCCCACCCTTCATGGCTTCTTCTGCCTCTTATAATCATTCTACAGTCTTGTCACAGGTGCGTCACCACTAACTGTCCAGTCAACAGCTTACTTGAAAGTTTAAATCTCTCTTACTTTTCTGAGGTCTTGAAACTCAGGCCAGGAAATAATTTTTTGAAGCTTATGTACTTTTTGCCTCTTGTAGTTCATTAGTTTCTTAAGGCTGCTGTACAAATGACCACAAACTAGACAGCTAGGGCAACAGGAACTACTAGAAAAGATCTTGAATGTTATCACAAAAGGATGGAAATGCCTTTATTAATTCTTTACGAATTTCACATAAGCACTCAATATATTTTAACCAATATTTACAAATTCCTCACCTTCCTGGATTTTCCCACTCATATCTCCCAACTTCACATTTTCTTTTTCTTTTTTAAGTAAAAGTAAAAAATGTTTGAGGTGGAGGATAAGCTAATTACCCTGACTTGATCACTCTACATTGTGTATTGAAGCATCACATATCCTAGAAATATGTTCAATATTATGTACCAACTATAAACATTGCAAATACCGGGGTGAGGGGAAAGCCCAGAGACTTACTGTGCTGCAGCGATTGAGGCAGAATGTTTAAAATGAAGTTATGGGTAGAGAATTGTAGAAGGAGCAGCGGGTTGCATTCTCCTGGCTAGCTTTACCCCCAAAATAATTACACGAAAACTGTATTCTTTTAAACACTGCTTGGCCCATTATATCTAGCCTCTTATTGGCGAACTCTTACATATTGATTCAACCAATTTCTAATAATCTGTATATCACCACAAGGTCATGGCTTACCGGGAAAGATTCAGCATGTCTGACCTGGCAGCTTCATGGCAGGCAGCTCTCTTGACCCTGCTTTCTTCCTCCCAGAATTCAGTTCTGTCTTCCCCGCCTACCTATGTTCTGACCTATCAGGCCAGGCAGTTTTCTTTATTAATTAACCAATGAAAGCAACAGATAGATAGAAGACTCCCGTACATCAGAGAATTGTCTGGAGCACAAGCAGACTCGGTCCCTCCCTCTTCCACAATGGCTGCTGGCTGCAGGGCAGTCTTGCTTTCCTTGCCTTGTGGGGAGCATCCCTCCAAGCTGCCCCCTCCATCCCCACAACTCAGTATGTTTATCCCATTTCCCTTCCTAGAAAGTCACCAGTTGTTAGATAAAGATCTCTCTTCATCTGACATGGCCTCCTCTTATCTCTAGAACATCTTCAAAGACCTTTATTTCCAAATGACTTCATGTTCACAGGTATCAGAAGTTGGGGCTTAAACAGGGCTTCCAGGGGGACAACTATCTCTGCACATGGTGAAAGCCATCCAGATTTTAGTTGAACCAAATTTATTTCCTCTAATTTTTAAAATTACCGGAAGGGCACTGAGTGTTTATGTGTGTACCCTGTTCATGCAGTGCCCACAAAGGTCAGAAGAGGGCACCAGATCCCCTAGACCTGTGGTTACAGATGGTTGTGAGCCACCATGTGGGGGCTGGGGATTGAACCCAGGTCCTCTGCATTAACAACAAGTGCTCTTAGCCACTGAGCCATCTTGCCAGCTCCCTGAGTTTCTCT